AGAAATATGAAGACTGAAAACTAATAAAATGAAGAGGAAATGATGATGATCTTATAATACTACCTGTTACTATGTGTTGTATATTCACAATTTACATGGGTGTATTTTTAACTTGTTTCATCAATAATTAATCTAGTCTAATTTGCCTTTCTGTTGAGTAGCAGGGGGGAAAAAGGAAAGTATAATCCACTCTATTTTCAAAAACATTTGTCTTGACACTTAAATCTCCTTACACACTGTTCAGTCTAAATTAAATGTGCACCCCTTTAGAGCTCTTTTTCTTTTCCTTTCTTGTCTTCTCTTTTCCCTTTTCCTCCTCCTCCACCTCCTCTTTCTTCTTCTTTCTCCACCTCTCACTCTTCTCCCTCTCCACATCCCCACACTTCTCCCCCCCCATTCCTTTCTCTTTCTTCTCTCTCCTCTGTCATTCTCTTTCTCTCTTTTTTTCTTTTTGCAGTGCCGAGGAATGAACCCAAGGCCTCTGCATGCAGGCATGCTTGGCAAGTGCTCTACCACTGACCCATGTTCCCAGTCTCTTTTGTTGTTTTCAATTTTGGAGACAAGATCTTGCTAAGTTACCCATGTTGGCCTCAAACTCTTGAGCCTTTTACCTTAGTGTCCCAAGCTGCTACCACTGTGCCTGACTCTCTTTGGAGTTCTTAACCACTTTTCTCCTCCTAAGATCCTTCCTAAGATATGATCTTTATGTGAGAAGGAGGGATATGGCCCAAGCCCTGCCTGTTGGTGGTAAGGGGAGGATCTGACTTGTTGGGTGAGAGACCCCTGACTCTTGGGCCTCTCTGCACAAGGGCCCAGTCTAGTTAGTTGCTGTTTACCCAGGCAGTGTTCTGTGCCCTAGAATGATTGTGGTTTAAAGTTGTCTACTTAGTTTAAGCTGGTTTGACCGTAACCATCCCACATCCACTCCTTTTCTGAGTGTTTCACCCTCCTCTTCTTAGACTGGCCTAGGGAATATCCCCATGCAGTCACCTCACTCTGAGCACAGAAGTCTTCCAAGCCACTCCTATAGCAACATGACTAAAACTGGGTTCCATCTGGCATCGTCCATTCAGGTCTCTATGGCAAAATCATCACAGGGTACATTGCTTAGTGACAATCAACATGCATCTCACAATCCATGTCCTAGTCTGAAGCCAGGGAGGATCAATCTACATTTCCATCACTATCTGCCCCAACTATTTATTCAAAGCTTTCTGTACTATAAAAAGTACCTTTTCACTGAGCATAAACCTATTTTCATGACATGTTTTTAAACTGTTTAATTGAGGAGCTGTACATGGAAGATTATATTTCTGCTTTGTGTTCTTAATGACATTTAATACCAATTGCTTTTCAAGAAAGGACATGGTATTTAAGCTTTTCGAATACTGTGGATGCAGTTATAAAAGAATCAGACTGATAGGCATATTGAATTCTGATAAACAAAATTCAAAACATTGCCAGATACTTCTTTCTCTATTAAGACATCAAAAGTTATAACCCTCATTGGAGGAAAGATAGCCTATTTAATAAATGGCGTTGGGAAAACTGGATTTCAACCTGCCAAAGATTAAAACTAGACCCATACCTATCACCATGCACTAAACTAAGATCAAAGTGGATTAAA